TCCCATAACATAAGCTACAAGGTAATGCAGCATTTTATACATTGTCGTGTTTCTTTAGAAATAAATAATGGAAAATGGGGTCTTCAAACGCTTTAGATGTAAAGTTATTCGCTGTCAAAGTGACGCCAAAATGAGTGGGAGTCAATGGAAATGCTAACGCAAGTGAAGTTACAAGATGGTGGCTCCCGCGAGGCTTCAACTTCTGGTCGATGGATTGCCCCCTTGGTATTACCTGTCAGCGGTGTTGTCGATGCCTTGAGAGAAGAGAAAGTGCAGAATGCAAAAGCATAGATATAATAAATACATAGACGCCCAATTGGCCGCTTTGGAGCGTTGCTGCGATAGTTTTCTTATTGTGGAAAAAGCATATTTTACCTGATTAACAATAACAAAGATAACTGATGGATCCTTTATCTATGGTAATACGATATGGTACAACTACAGTGCAGTGCAAATAGTAAATATAAGATATAGTGAGAAGTAATAGTAAATAGTTTAGTCAATAACATAAACAAACAGTATACCCTAGTGAAAAAAAGTATACTTTATTGTATTTGAAATATATTCCCTTTTTCAAAAGTACATTGCAAATATACTAACAAAAAATGTACTATATTTAAATACATTAAAAGTATATTAGCATCATACAACTTTAAACACACTTTAAAATAATTGTACTTAATCTCATGAAAGTATACTTTTTGAAAAGTGTACTTGCAGATAATATAATATAATTACAATTAAAGACCACTTAAGTTTAACTTAAAGTACACTTTCATCACATTATTTATGAACACACTTAAGTGCACTTTTAAAAATGCACTTTGTAATAATATGTAATTAAGTTTTACTTAAAGTAAGTACACTTTCATGACAATATTTATAAACACACTTAAGTGTACTTTTTAAAAATGCACTTTGTAATAATGTCTAATTAAGTTTTACTTATAGAAAGTACACTTTCGTGATCATATTTATAAACACACTTAAGTGTACTTTTTACAAATGCACTTTGTAATAATATCTAATTAAATTTAACTTAAATTAAGTACACTTTCATCACAATATTTCTAAATACACCTAAGTGCATGTTTTTAAAAAAATCATTTTTTAATAATGTCTACACAAGTTTTAGTTAAAGAAAGTACACTTTCATGTTAATATTTCTAATCACACTTAAGTGCATGTTTTAAAAAATTCCCTTTTTAATTGTGTCTACTTAAGTTTTACATTTTAAATAATTATGATTTTATAGTGTTTTAAAGTTATTAAAGTTATTAAATGAAATGTATTTTGATGAAGTGACTAATATACTAAATAAAATAATAATTTTAATGGAAAATATGGAAAGTAATTCATTTTAATTTCAACTCAAGTGTGTTGTCCAAAAACAATTAGTTCATTTATTTTAAATGTGTTTAATCTAGAATATATCGACTGTGTGCATTAATGCGCTTGGAATGTGTTTTTCCAATAAATTTGCAATACAGTATAATCCAGGACAACTTATTGTTGATATTTTTTTTGATATTTTCTACATAATATATGACAATAAAATGTAATTGATGAGAGGAGTCTTAGCATAACAGTAATGTGTGGTACTTTACATATGTGAGAAAGTCAATTAAACACATTTAATTGCAATCTACACAGAACAAAAATATTGACTTTTAGTTGGTTGAAAGAGTAGCGTTTTGTGAACTTACAGAGTATAACAACACAAAGAGTTAGAACAACTTCAACTTAAACAGAAAAGTTGAAATAAAAATATACTGTAGCTATATGAACACGGTGTTTAATGCGCATGCGCCAGACGTCATGATGACGCACTACTTCCCTAGAGTTTGAAAAATGCGCTGTTGTGTTTCTGTAATCGCGATCAGGAAATGAAAACAAGAGAACAAAAGGAGCGCCACGTTTGGCTGTTTGCAGATGAGATGTTATACTGCAAATAATTAGTCAAGTATGTTGCTATACGCAATATAGATTCGGGAGCTAAATTGATCATGTTTCCAATAATTTATGTGTGACGCTGATGAGGTAATTCATCACATCACACATTCATCAACAGTTAGCAGTCAAAAGTTTACGTAGGCCTACACCTTGCAGAATAAACTGCTTCATCAGGGTAGTACTAAACAAAAAGACAACATATACATTTTTGTGTTTCCTCTTATTGCTAAAATTACTAACATTTTGCAGATACTGCAAGGTGTATGTAAAACTTTAAAGGGAAAATATCTATCACTTTCATTCATTTGAGCCAAATTTAATAATGGACTGGATCTGTTTTATAAACAATTTTTTTTACTTTTTTTTTTTTCTCAAGGTATTTTTTCCTGACTTTCCTGCCTCTTTGGAACAAATCCATTCACATTTACTTCGGAGAGCACCGGGACATTGACATAAACAGGACTTTCCAACTTCAAAACATTTGGTGACAAATGATTTTGGTTTTCTTGTTTTTTTGCCTTTGGATTTCTTCATTTTTATTTTATTTTTTATTTTTTAGACAAAATTATATTCACTGTAATGCTGAAGTAAGCATTTTGTCCTCTTTAATGTTGGTGCTACGAAAAGGTTTAAGAGCTAAAATTAACCAGGTTTGTTAACACTTTAATTAGGTTTCATTTGTTGATATTAGTTTATGTATAAGCAAAACATGATCTAAAAAATGAGCATTTTTGACAGTATTTATTAATCCTTTTTAAGATTAGTTCATTCAAATATAGTTTGTTAAAGTTAGAACAATTTATAGTTATTGTTCATACAAGTTCACAGTGCTTTATAATTTTAGTACACAACTTTTGAATATAATAATGCATTATTAAATGTTGAAATGAACATTAACTAAGGCTAACAAATGCTTCAAGTATTATTCATTCTTAGTTCATGTTAACTGAAGGAGTTAACTAATAATACCTTTTTCATTACCCGTTTGAATCTTAGTGTTCACATTTTGCAACATCACATTTTGTTTGTATTAATTCATGGGTTGTGTATTTGATGTAATGTGTGTTTGCTTCTAAAATGATGTTTGTACTGGTAATCCCTAGGTTATGGAGACCAAATTACCCCAACAGTATAGTAATACCATTAATTTACATGGAAACAATCTTATAAATCATACAGAATTATGTTTTCTGAAAATGTCTAAAATTCTGTCATCATATATACTCACCCTCAACTTACATTTAAGTGATCTTATGAATCACTGACAACTCTTAAATAACTGGTTTGTAAATAATGCTATACTTCATTAAGAAATTATTAATTGATCATTAACAAAGTATGAAACTACAATTATTAAACACATTATGCTTATAAATCAAGAAAAAAACATTTATTGCTGTATTTAGCAACTTATTATTAATGTCTATTAATGCTTTAAATGATTAACTGTTAACTCATGCTTATAATGAATAATAGTGTGCAGTTAAGTGTTACCTTTCTTTCTTCTGCTGAACACAACAGAGATATTTTGAAAAATGTCAGTAACCAAACAGTTAACTGGTCCCATTGACTTCCATAGTAGGAAACAAAATACCATGGAAGTCATTTGGACCAGTTAACTATTTGGTTACTGACATTTTTCAAAATATCTTCATTGTGTTCAGCAGAAGAAAAATTCATACAGGTTTGAAACAACTTGAAGGTGCGTATAGTGACAGAATTTTCATTCTAAGTGTTGTAACCGTTTGTTTCTTGGGTTTTTTCTTGTGCATCAACAGAAAGGTTTTTATGTATTTATTTTAGAGATTGTTTTGTCAGTAAATATAGAGGGTTTTAAATTGAATTTGTGTTGATTGTAACTATATAGGTTATTAAGACTTTTTTTTGTCCAAATTTGAAATAAATTGCAACTATATATTTTTTTTATTAAATTTGTTTTATTTAATGTAACGAACAAGTACACTATTATATAATTAAAGTATATTTTTGTTGACATTATTTGCTTGTCAGTATATTTGGAAGTACACTTTTACCATATTTCAAAAATCACTCTTAATATCAACTAATAGCATTTAATTTGAGCTTAATCTGTGATGCATTTGAAATCAATTACATATAATATGCATTAAGTTTGTCGAAAACATTACACTTAATTCACACTTAAGTGTATTGTTGACTGACATTAAAGTATATTTTAGTTCACATTAATTGCATCATTATATTGTGTAGTGCACTTTAACTGTATTTTAAATACACTGGAAGCAATTGTGAGAGTGTATGTAAAGTTGTATTAAAGTATCAATTAAGTTGTTCCAAAAAATCTCTCTTAATGGGAACTTATTACACTTTATTTCAACTTAATATGTGATATATTTGAAATAAATTACACTTAATGTGCATTCAGTACCCCGAAAAAAATTTATTTAATTCAAACTTAAGTGTATTGTTGACTGACTTCAAAGTATATTTTTAATCACATTAATTGCGTGTCATCATATTGTTTAGTGCACTTTAACTATAATTTAAATACACTAGAAGCAATTATGAAAGTATATATAAAGTTGTATTAAAGTACCAATTAAGTTGTTCCAAAAAAATCACACTTGATTGCAACTTATTACACTTTATTTTAACTTAATATGTGATATATTTGAAATAAATTACACTTAATGTGCATTCAGTACCCCGAAAAAACTTAAGTGTATTCATTTAAAGTGTATTATTTTTGTAATAAGTACACTTTATAAAAGTACACTAAAGTGCACTTTTTTTTCACAAGGGATATTACTATAGGTTTTTAAATAGTCAACATAATTTGTACCATATTCAGAAAAGAGTGCCACTGCCATTGAGTTTTAGAATCTTTAATAGAGCAACATTTTGAAAAGTCATCTATGTGACGATATATCACAAAATCTGCAGGTTCTGTGTTGTTCTGGTTCTGAAACATGATTGGATGAGCCATGTTTAGAGCTTGTGACTAAATATCAGATGAAATTTATAATTATTCTTCACATCAGCAAAAAACAAAACAAAAACAGAGCTTGTGTGGTGTATTTAACTTAATTTTATTAAAATACAATGCATAAACAATCTGTCAAGTTTACAAGTTAACTCTCCATGACAAGCAGTAACAAGCTGGGAAAAAAAAGGGGCCCTAATGAGTTTCAAAATAAAGTTAATACCCGCTCTTCTTAGATTTTGTGTTGGTGCAAAAATCAAAGAGACACGTGATCATGAAGCGGATAAAAACACGGCACTGGCACTTCGGGAATATTTACAACCTGCTGCACTGCGTTCACACACACACACACACACACACGATTGTGGGATTGATGAGAGAGTGAGGGATGGCCTGACGGAGAGATATTCTCCCACGTTCCCTCTCCGCATCATCATGACCTGAACTCGTGCTGGGATACAGAGACGATGACATGAGCGCTTCACGAGTCACTTGAACGCGGCTGAGAGCGCGAGTGTGCAGACGTTGATGTCCTCGGTGTGCGAGACTCGGTGCAGCGACGGCTCCGACGCGCTGCGGTTGATCTTCGGGAGCGAGTGTTGGAGAAGCTCGATGGAGGACAGGATCTGAGGAAAACGGGACATCACTTCAACATCCGTGTAGAATGAGCTAATAGTTCCTTTACAACACCAACATGATGATCATTAATACACACTTCCACATATTATAAGTGGCCAAACATTTCAAGCAGATCTTGTTCTCATTTTGTTTGTTAGTTTCACCAGTAAATTAGACTCACAATTTAATATTTCCACATCACAATTATCCCACAATACAACAGTAATAACAACAAAAAGTAAACCTACTTTGGGCATTCATTAAGTCATATTTTTTATGAAACTGATACAGACTTGAGCATTGCACTATAACAATAAAAAAGGCATCGCATTGTATTTATAAAAAGTTGTTTTGTCATCTAAATGTTTGAAAGTATATTTTTCCTGTTTTACTACATGTACTACACATTTCACCCTGGCTGGAATGAATGGCTGTTTTTTAATTCGAGTTGAATATTTGATATTTCATAACACCTGTAAGACTTTTTTCTTTTTTTAAACATCAGCACTGATTGTATATGATTATAGATTATATTATCTTTATAAATAAAGTAAAATTATTGTACTAGAGTAAAACTTTAAGTCAGAAAATTTGCTTAATTGTCACAAAGAAATATGAGCTGCATGTTTCTTCAAGATTCTCTTGACAGTAATAAAAGAGGCATTCATTCAGCTAACTTGATTCGTTAGAGCGGCACGATTCTGGATAAATTGAGAATCACTTTTTTTGTTGTTTAAAATAATAATGATTCTCCCATGATTCTGGATAGACAACTAAACTAAATAACATTTACTATACTACAGGTTTTGACTAAATGTTAATAGTTATCAAAAAAAATAGTTCAAATTATTTGTGTTTTTAAAGTTTGAGTGGATGATTCAATGACTCGCTTATAAAGATTTTTCCACTTGTTTCATTACTGGATGAATCAGCGTTTTTGAAAGAATCTCTTGAATGAATGATTCAGTGACTCACTCATAAAGACTTCACTTGTTTCATTACTGGATGAATCAGGGTTTATTTAACGAATCTCTTGAATGAATGGTTCAATGACTCACTTATAAAGACTTTTTCACTTATTTCATTACTGGATGAATCAGTGTTTTTTTTTAGGAATCTCTTGAATTAATTATTCAATGACTCACTCATAAAGACTTCACTTGTTTAATTAATGGATGAATCAGTGTTTTTTCAACGAATCTCTTGAATTGATGATTCAATGACTCACTCATAAAGACTTCACTTGTTTAATTAATGGATGAATCAGTGTTTTTTTAACAAATCTCTTGAATAAATGATTCAATGACTCACTTGTAAAGACTTTTTCACTGTTTCATTACTGGATGAATCCGCATTTTAGAATTAATCTTTTGAATGAATGATTCAGTGACTCATTCATAAAGACTTCACTTGTCTAATTACTGGATGAATCAGTGTTTTTTAACGAATCTCTTGAATGAATGATTCATTGACTCACTTATAAAGACTTTTTCACTTGTTTCATTACTGGATGAATCAGCGTTTTAGAATTAATCACTTGAATTAATGATTCAATGACTCACTCATAAAGACTTCACTTGTTTAATTACTGGATGAATCAGTATTTTTTAACGAATCTCTGGAATGAATGATTCAATAACTCACTTATAAAGACTTTTTCACTTGTTTCATTACTGGATGAGTCAGAGTTTTTTTTAACAAATCTCTTGAATGAATGATTCTCTTGCATCTACCTACTGGTGAAACAATGTAATTGATACAATCATTATGTAAAGCATTAATTTACTTTCAAAAGGTGATTTACACTATAGTTCAGATATAAACACTGATGTCTACGTCAGCGATCAAAATACACTTATCTCATTACTTCTGTTCTGAATGATTATAAGACAATATGTATGGCGTAAGATGATTGACACGGCAACGGTGCTCTCTGGATCAGAACTCAGATCTTAATGTTCTCTGTGACTCGACTCATCAAAGCTTTAAATGGACAGAGCCGGATCACTGTTAGGAATGGGGTCGAGTGTGTGTGATTAATCGTGCGGATCTGCTTTGCAGGGATGTTACCTGTGGAAACAGCGGCCGCTCGTCTTTAGTCTTCTGGATGCAGTCCGCGACGAGTCTCTTCATGGCTTTAGGACAGCTCTTGTACAGTTTACTGAGGTCAGGGGTCAGGTAACCTCGACCCACCATAAAGATGATCTACACAAAGAAAAGGGGAAGAACCTGATTATATGCTTACATTTAAAAGGGAACTCGATTTTACAACTCTTCTGCACAATGTGAATCTGCTTAACCATGCAAATGACACTAGAGATGAACACTACCATTCAAAATCATAAAATATGACTGTTTTCAACACTGATAATATTTTTCTTGAGCATCAGACCATCATATTAGAGTGATTTCTGAAGGATCATGTGACACTGAAGACTGGAGTAATGATGCTGAAAATTCAGCTTTGATCACAGGAATAAATTACACTTTAATATGTATTCACATAGAAAACAGATGAGTAATATACAATGGAGTAATATTTCACTGTTTTTTTTTTTTATCAAATAAATGCAGGTTTGATGAGCAGAAGAGACTCTTTCAGAAACATTCAAACGAAATCCGAGCGCTGGTGTAATAGCACACCTGTCCTAGAGAAACCACCTGACACAAATGTTTCAGGACGGAGTTTAATACTTTGAGTCAGAGTTTCGCTCAGCTCTCAGAATCTGAACAGTAATAGTTCAGTTGATACTTAGCAGAGGATTAGAGGAAAAACTAAACAAATCGGCTTCATTTCCCCTCTCATTTCCAGACAACAAAGCAGCGCAACATAACCAGACACTGCTTTTAGAAACCGACCTTTGGGCATCTAAATTTAGACAAAGCTAGCTCACAGAACACACACACTGAGGCTGTGCTTCATCATGCTGAACATGAACCTGGCTGTTTAAAACGGACATATTACGCTCCTTTTGGCGTCCTCAAAATGTGTGTGTGAATTTCAGCTTAATTCTCCACAGATCATTTATTACACAGCTTGTCAAAGTTTCCTCATTTAGGGTTTGAGCAAAAACACGCCGTTTTTGTGTGTGTCCCTTTAAATGCAAGTGAGCTTCTTTAGCTCCGCCTCTGTTTAGAAGAGGGCGGATACTTCATGCGAGCTTCAGAGACTCTGGCAATAACAACAAAGGCCAATCTCAATGATCCAGAATCAGGAATAACCAGCAGCGAGAGCAGCCTTCCGGAGAGAATGAATTACTGACGACTCGTTTCAGTTCAGAATCACTTCTTTCTTTTAGGAGACAAAAACTACGTTTATCTTTGATCTGTGAAACTTTAACATTCTTAAACAGCTCTTATTACACACTAAATGAAAGACCTTAAAGGAGTGATGAACTGAGAAATCAATTTTTCCTTCAGCTTTTGACATCTAAGAGGTCATCATATTAGAAGAATATCCTGTAAGTTTCAGAACTGAAAACGTCCTTGTTAGTCCAATAAAAGCTTTTTGACACCAGCCTCAAAAAACAACTCGTTTTTCAAAGTGGGGAACTATGACGTCAAAGAGGATAAAACACCACCCCCGCAGAAGATGATCAACGCCTACTTCAACGGCCGCTTTAGCCCCGCCCACCGATTCGCGCATTACACTCATAGCTAAATAACATAGATGCCTACCTCGTGATGACAATCCGGATCGAGCTACCGAGCAATAATAAACTTTATTTTTAATGACGTTCCACTCCAGCTGATGAGGGTAAAACATCGTCCGTCTGTTCGCTTCATTTCACTGAGGATTATTTTGTAAACAAGACTGGATTTGCAGACCGATTAAGAGTAAAGAACGGTGCTGTGCCGTCTATATTTAATCTGACAGGAATTGTGCAACACACGGACTCTGGGTCGAAATTGTATGGGCGAATCATTCCGGTTAACATTTTACAACATTGGACGTTTTCAAAACAATTCCCCTCACGTGCACCGACGGGTGAGTTGAAACTCATTATAATATGCAAAACTCTTATCCACTCACAGCAGTGGGCGTTTACTTCTGAGTCTTCAGTGCGAGACGCCCATACAAATCGAGCGTTTTTGAGCTAGGTTCAAAACTAGGGTAGAAAATAGCCTATTACTTGTTCATTTTGATGTTTTTGAATGTAAAAACCAAGCGTACATCATAAGTTGACCTCAGAAAACAATATAATAAAATTTAAAAAGCCACTTCCCCTTTAATCTCACCTGGTCTCGGTTCCCGATCATAGAATAGGGCAGTTCTCCTGTCATCAGCTCGTATAGGACGATCCCGTAGGAATACACATCCGACTGGAAACTGTACGGGTTGTTGTCCTGCATCCGGATGACCTCGGGAGCCTGAAGAAGAAGAAGCACGCTCACTCTTTCACTCAGATCATCTTCAGGTCAAGAGTCCCAGAACAAACCGGTGTCTAATAATCTAATCTAATCTAGACATAAGCTTTGTCAAAAAACAAAACAAAAAAATGCTAAAACATAATAGCAACATGTTAATTAATGCTAAACATGTGTTAAAACATGCTAACAGCATGCTAATAATTGTTTGTCATGTTAAAACATGCTAGCAACATGTTAATTCATGCTAGCAATGAGGTAAAACATGTAAGAAACATGTTCATTCAAGCTAACAAAATGGTAAATCATGGTAACATGCTAGGATTGTGCGAACTCATACTAGAAACATACTAGTCCGATTGAAACTAAAGTTGTGCATGTAAACACAGCCACTGATTCTGTTACACACAGATTATCATGTGGCGTGTGTATTATGATATCTGATATGAGCTCCACACCATCCAGAGGACGGATCCCGACGGCTGCTCGACGCGATGAGAACCGGTCCATCGCGCCTTCACTGTGGCCAGACCGAAGTCCCCGATCTTCACCGTCAAGCCTTCGTGCAGGAACACATCTGAGCATCCGGTTCAGGGAACTCATCACTATACTCATAACTACATAGAAACCGACTGCAAAATACTTAAAGGAGTAGTTCACGTTAAACTGAAAATTAGCCCATGATTTTATGATAGACAGATGCACTTTTATGATGGACAGATGCGCTTTTATCATGAATTGATGCGCTTTTATGATAGATAGATGCGCCTTTATGATGGATAGATGCGCCTTTATGATGGACAGATGCACTTTTATGATGGATAGATGAGCTTTTATGATGGACAGATGCACTTTTATGATGGATAGATGCACTTTTATGATGGATAGATGCGCCTTTATGATGGATAGATGCACTTTTATGATGGATAGATGAGCTTTTATGATGGATAGATGCACTTTTATGATGGACAGATGCACTTTTATCATGAACAGATGCGCTTTTATGATGGACAGATGCACTTTTATGATGGATAGATGAGCTTTTATGATGGATAGATGCGCCTTTATGATGGATAGATGCGCCTTTATGATGGATAGATGCACTTTTATGATGGATAGATGAGCTTTTATGATGGATAGATGCGCCTTTATGATGGATAGATGCGCTTTTATGATGGATAGATGCGCCTTTATGATGGATAGATGCACTTTTATGATGGATAGATGCGCCTTTATGATGGATAGATGCACTTTTATGATGGATAGATGCGCCTTTATGATGGATAGATGCACTTTTATGATAGATAGATGCGCCTTTATGATGGATAGATGCGCTTTTATGATGGATAGATGCACTTTTATGATAGATAAATGCGCCTTTATGATGGATAGATACGCTTTTATGATGGATAGATGCGCCTTTATGATGGATAGATGCGCTTTTATGATGGATAGATGCGCCTTTATGATGGATAGATGCGCTTTTATGATGGATAGATGCACTTTTATGATGGATAGATGCACTTTTATGATGGATAGATGCGCCTTTATGATGGATAGATGCACTTTTATGATGGATAGATGAGCTTTTATGATGGATAGATGCACTTTTATGATGGACAGATGCACTTTTATCATGAACAGATGCGCTTTTATGATGGACAGATGCACTTTTATGATGGATAGATGAGCTTTTATGATGGATAGATGCGCCTTTATGATGGATAGATGCGCCTTTATGATGGATAGATGCACTTTTATGATGGATAGATGCGCCTTTATGATGGATAGATGCACTTTTATGATGGATAGATGCGCCTTTATGATGGATAGATGCACTTTTATGATAGATAGATGCGCCTTTATGATGGATAGATGCGCTTTTATGATGGACAGATGCACTTTTATGATGGATAGATGCACTTTTATGATGGATAGATGCACCTTTATGATGGATAGATGCACTTTTATGATGGATAGATGCACTTTTATGATGGACAGATACACTTTTATCATGAATAGATGCGCTTTTATGATGGATAGATGCGCCTTTATGATGGACAGATGCACTTTTATGATGGATAGATGAGCTTTTATGATGGATAGATGCGCCTTTATGATGGATAGATGCGCCTTTATGATGGATAGATGCACTTTTATGATGGACAGATGCACTTTTATGATGGATAGATGAGCTTTTATGATGGACAGATGCGCCTTTATGATGGACAGATGCACTTTTATGATGGATAGATGAGCTTTTATGATGGACAGATGCACTTTTATGATGGATAGATGAGCTTTTATGATGGACAGATGCACTTTTATGATGGATAGATGCGCCTTTATGATGGATAGATGCACTTTTATGATGGATAGATGCGCCTTTATGATGGATAGATGCGCTTTTATGATGGATAGATGCGCCTTTATGATGGATAGATGCGCTTTTATGATGGATAGATGCGCCTTTATGATGGATAGATGCACTTTTATGATGGATAGATGAGCTTTTATGATGGATAGATGCGCCTTTATGATGGATAGATGCGCTTTTATGATGGATGGATGCGCCTTTATGATGGATAGATGCACTTTTATGATGGATAGATGCGCCTTTATGATGGATAGATGCACTTTTATGATGGATAGATGCGCCTTTATGATGGATAGATGCACTTTTATGATAGATAGATGCGCCTTTATGATGGATAGATGCGCTTTTATGATGGACAGATGCACTTTTATGATGGATAGATGCACTTTTATGATGGATAGATGCACCTTTATGATGGATAGATGCACTTTTATGATGGATAGATGCACTTTTATGATGGACAGATACACTTTATCATGAATAGATGCGCTTTTATGATGGATAGATGCGCCTTTATGATGGACAGATGCACTTTTATGATGGATAGATGAGCTTTTATGATGGATAGATGCGCCTTTATGATGGATAGATGCGCCTTTATGATGGATAGATGCACTTTTATGATGGACAGATGCACTTTTATGATGGATAGATGAGCTTTTATGATGGACAGATGCGCCTTTATGATGGACAGATGCACTTTTATGATGGATAGATGAGCTTTTATGATGGACAGATGCACTTTTATGATGGATAGATGAGCTTTTATGATGGACAGATGCACTTTTATGATGGATAGATGCGCCTTTATGATGGATAGATGCACTTTTATGATGGATAGATGCGCCTTTATGATGGATAGATGCGCTTTTATGATGGATAGATGCGCCTTTATGATGGATAGATGCGCTTTTATGATGGATAGATGCGCCTTTATGATGGATAGATGCACTTTTATGATGGATAGATGCGCCTTTATGATGGATAGATGCACTTTATGATGGATAGATGCACTTTTATGATGGATAGATGCGCCTTTATGATGGATAGATGCGCTTTTATGATGGATAGATGCGCCTTTATGATGGATAGATGCACTTTTATGATGGATAGATGCGCCTTTATGATGGATAGATGCGCTTTTATGATGGATAGATGCGCCTTTATGATGGATAGATGCACTTTTATGATGGATAGATGCGCCTTTATGATGGATAGATGCGCCTTTATGATGGATAGATGAGCTTTTATGATGGATAGATGCGCCTTTATGATGGATAGACGCGCTTTTATGATGGATAGATGCACTTTTATGATGGATAGATGCACTTTTATGATGGATAGATGCACTTTATGATGGATAGATGCACTTTTATGATGGACAGATGCACTTTTATCATGAACAGATGCGCTTTTATGATGGATAGATGCACTTTTATGATGGATAGATGAGCTTTTATGATGGATAGATGCGCCTTTATGATGGATAGATGCACTTTTATGATGGATAGATGCACTTTTATGATGGATAGATGCGCCTTTATGATGGATAGATGCACTTTTATGATGGACAGATGCACTTTTATCATGAACAGATGCGCTTTTATGATGGACAGATGCACTTTTATGATGGACAGATGCACTTTTATGATGGACAGATGCACTTTTATCATGAACAGATGCGCTTTTATGATGGATAGATGCACTTTTATGATGGATAGATGAGCTTTTATGATGGATAGATGCGCCTTTATGATGGATAGATGCGCCTTTATGATGGATAGATGCACTTTTATGATGGATAGATGCACTTTTATGATGGATAGATGCGCCTTTATGATGGATAGATGCACTTTTATGATGGACAGATGCACTTTTATCATGAACAGATGTGCTTTTATGATGGACAGATGCACTTTTATGATGGACAGATGCACTTTTATGATGGACAGATGCACTTTTATCATGAACAGATGCGCTTTTATGATGGATAGATGCACTTTTATGATGGACAGATGCACTTTTATGATGGACAGATGCACTTTTATCATGAACAGATGCGCTTTTATGATGGATAGATGCACTTTTATGATGGACAGATGCACTTTTATGATGGACAGATGCACTTTTATAAGCTTCAATCTGTTGGTTGCAATCCACTGCAATTATAAAGCTTGGAAGAGCCAGGACATTTCTGAATATAAATGGATAGATGCACTTTTATGATGGACAGATGCACTTTTATGATGGACAGATGCACTTTTATGAGCTTCAATCTGTTGGTTGCAATCCACTGCAATTATAAAGCTTGGAAGAGCCAGGACATTTTTTTAATATAACTGTATTGTATTCGTCTGAAAGAAGAAAGTCATACACCTAGGATGACTTGAGGGAGAGTAAATCATGGGCTAATTCTCATTTTAAAGTGAACGACTCATTTATAAAACAGGCTGCTTTTCGCATCGTGACCAGTGTTACAGAAAAAAAGGATGTAAAATGGACTAGTTGGTAAAGATACTGTTTGACTTCATGTCTCGATGGATGATATTCTTTGCATGTAGGTAACTAGAAGAGAAGAGATATGAAGAGTTATTAGAGATCATTGTAATTTATATATATTCTGTTTAGGTTATGCATTATCAGCATTATCAGTACAGGAGTTAACTGACAAAACCACCTCTGAGTTTACATGTAAACATCAGCCTATTTTCTTCTATTTTTAAACCTGGTTGCATTTCTATAAATAGCTGATGGCATCATGAACTTAAAATGTGAATCTGTTTCTAAAAATATACTATGTTGTCCAAAACTGTGACAGAACGCTATGTTGCGCGTCTTTATTGTGTTGCAATAAAACTTCTAAAAACACTCGAGAGAAGTTTCTTTAAACCAATAACAACCTGAAATCATTTACACTACCATTCAAACGTTTGGATGTTCTGAAATAAGTCTCGTCTGCTAATCAGGGCTGCCATTATTTGATCAAAAATAAATTATAAACAATGAAAAATTATTAGAATGTAAAACAGATGTTTTCTATGTGAATATATAGTGTTATGCCATGTGACTCTGAAGAGCGCACCTGTGTGGGAGGTGGGAGTTCACTTGCACACTTTTGCTTGATCTTTCTGTCTGTACTATTTTAATGTCTGACCAACAACTTAGTTAATCATATCTTATCTCTCTGGTCGTACTCAATTTGTTCAATTAGGCCAGTTTGAATCTCAACCATCACGCATTACCACAGGCATCCCACAGGGATCAGTTCTGGGCCCTTTATTATTTATTATTTATTTACTGCCACGTAGAACCATTTTTAGGAAATATGGACTCCCTTTTCACTGTTACGCTGACAACACCCAGCTCTATTTATCCTTAAACCTTCTTCTGACCTTCCTTCATCCTCTCTACCTGTTTGTCTGAAGTTAAAGCTTGGTTTTCAGGTACATTTCTCAAGCTTAACAGTACTAAAACAAAACTAGTTCTTGTAGGAACATAAACTAATCTATCAAAGCCGAGTCACTGTTTTTTAGGAATGAGATCGAGTGCGAGTTTGAATGCAGACCAGTTTGAATGTTTGAGTGTGTGTTAAAAATGAGTACTAATGCAGCTCTAATTACCATGAACGCTAACAAAATTATTAACAATCACATGGCTTGAATTAAAATATGGACATATTCCGCTTCCAATTATTTCTTGAATTTCAGTTGTTTCTTGTTCTCAGTTTCATTTGCTTTTACTCAAAACTGTGTAGTTTTGTTCTTGGTATTTGGAGGATAAGACTATCAGTCTAAGTTCACTAGCCTCTAGTGAGCAGCTGAAGAACCAAAATACTGTTGAATTTGTTCAGATTCAGAGCCTTTGACATCAACAACAAGAACACTGATATGAGGCAGTATTTTGAAGTTTGATAAGCCAGTTAATTTTCCTATCCGAACCATACAGGATTATTTGGTTAGTTGCATGTTATAATTTGCATTTAGCAAATAACATAATTGAGGGTTGCAACCCTGCGGTTGAGAAGTGTTGGTTTAGCCAACACAAACATCTCTAAAACCTGCAATTTAGACACTGCTTAAGTCAGGGAAAACACTGGCTGCGTTTACATGCAACCAAATAATCCGTTAGTAATAGGATTGACGGCTCAGTCGGACTGAAAATCCTTCATGTAAACGCCTTAAACGATGCGATTGAGCTTGATCAGAATGACATTTCGATCGGAATGCGTAATGACGTAGAATTAGCGTGCGTTATGACGTAGAATTAGCGTGCGTAATGACGTAGAATTAGCGTGCGTAATGACGTAGAATTAGCGTGCGTAATGACAGAATTAACGTGCGTAATGACAGAATTAGTGTGCGTAATGACGTAGAATTAGCGTGCGTTATGACGTAGAATTAGCGTGCGTAATGACGTAGAATTAGCGTGCATTATGACTTAGAATTAGCGTGCGGAATGACGTAGAATTAAAGGAATGACGTAGAATCAGCGTGCGTTATGACTTAGAATTAGCGTGCGGAATGATGTAGAATCAGCGTGCGTTATGACGTAGAATTAGCGTGCGTAATGACGTAGAATTAGCGTGCGTAATGACGTAGAATTAGCGTGCGTAATGACATAGAATTAGTGTGCGTAATGACGTAGAATTAGCGTGCGTTATGACGTAGAATTAGCGTGCGTTATGACTTAGAATTAGCGTGCGTAATGACGTAGAATTAGCGTGCATTATGACTTAGAATTTGCGTGCGGAATGACGTAGAATTAAAGGAATGACGTAGAATCAGCGTGCGTTATGACTTAGAATTAGCGTGCGGAATGATGTAGAATCAGCGTGCGTTATGACGTAGAATTAGCGTGCGTTATGACTTAGAATTAGCGTGCGTTATGACTTAGAATTAGCGTGCGTAATGACGTAGAATTAGCGTGCGTAATGACGTAGAATTAGCGTGCGTTATGACTTAGAATTAGTGTGCGTAATGACGTAGAATTAGCGTGCGTAATGACGTAGAATTAGCGTGCGTTATGACTTAGAATTAACGTGCGTAATGACGTAGAATTAGCGTGCGTAATGACGTAGAATTAGCGTGCGTTATGACTTAGAATTAGCGTGCGTTATGACTTAGAATTAGCGTGCGTAATGACGTAGAATTAGCGTGCGTAATGACGTAGAATTAGCGTGCGTTATGACTTAGAATTAGTGTGCGTAATGACGTAGAATTAGCGTGCGTAATGACGTAGAATTAGCGTGCGTTATGACTTAGAATTAACGTGCGTTATGACTTAGAATTAGTGTGCGTAATGACGTAGAATTAGCGTGCGTAATGAAGTAGAATTAGCGTGCGTTATGACTTAGAATTAGCGTGCGTTATGACTTAGAATTAGCGTGCGTAATGACGTAGAATTAGCGTGCGTAATGACGTAGAATTAGCGTGCGTAATGACGTAGAATTAGCGTGCGTTATGACTTAGAATTTGCGTGCGTAATGAAGTAGAATTAGCGTGCGGAATGACATAGAATTAATGGAATGACGTACAATCAGCATGCGTTATGACTTAGAATTAGCGTGCGGAATGATGTAGAATTAGCGTGCGGAATGACAGAATTAACGGAATGACGTATAATCAGCGTGCGTTATGACGTAGAATTAGCGTGCGTTATGACTTAGAATTAATGTGCGTTATGACTTAGAATTAGCGTGCGGAATGACGTAGAATTAGCATGCGTAATGACAGAATTAGCGTGCGTAATGACGTAGAATTAGCGTGCGTTATGACTTAGAATTTGCGTGCGTAATGACGTAGAATTAGCGTGCGGAATGACATAGAATTAATGGAATGACGTAGAATCAGCGTGCGTTATGACTTAGAATTAGCGTGCGGAATGATGTAGAATTAGCGTGCGGAATGACATAGAATTAACGGAATGACGTAGAATCAGCGTGCGTTATGACGTAGAATCAGCGTGCGTTATGACTTAGAATTAATGTGCGTTATGACTTAGAATTAGCGTGCGGAATGACGTAGAATCAGCGTGCGTTATGACGTAGAATTAGCGTGCGTTATGACTTAGAATTAGCGTGCGGAATGACGTAGAATCAGCGTGCGTTATGACGTAGAATTAGCGTGCGTTATGACTTAGAATTAGCGTGCGTAATGACTTAGAATTAGCGTGCGTTATGACTTAGAATTAGCGTGCGGAATGACGTAGAATCAGCGTGCGTTATGACGTAGAATTAGCGTGCGTTATGACTTAGAATTAGCGTGCGTTATGACTTAGAATTAGCGTGCGGAATGACGTAGAATCAGCGTGCGTTATGACGTAGAATTAGCGTGCGTTATGACGTAGAATTAGCGTGCGTTATGACTTAGAATTAGCGTGCGTTATGACGTAGAATCAGCGTGCGTTATGACTTAGAATTAGCGTGCGTTATGACTTAGAATTAGCGTGCGGAATGACGTAGAATCAGCGTGCGTTATGACGTAGAATTAGCGTGCGTTATGACGTAGAATTAGCGTGCGTTATGACTTAGAATTAGCGTGCGTAATGACTTAGAATTAGCGTGCGTTATGACTTAGAATTAGCGTGCGTTATGACTTAGAATTAGCGTGCGGAATGACGTAGAATCAGCGTGCGTTATGACGTAGAATTAGCGTGCGTTATGACTTAGAATTAGCGTGCGTTATGACTTAGAATTAGCGTGCGGAATGACGTAGAATCAGCGTGCGTTATGACGTAGAATCAGCGTGCGTTATGACTTAGAATTAGCGTGCGTAATGACTTAGAATTAGCGTGCGTTATGACTTAGAATTAGCGTGCGTAATGACTTAGAATTAGCGTGCGTAATGACTTAGAATAAGCGTGCGTTATGACGTAGAATTAGCGTGCGTTATGACTTAGAATTAGCGTGCGTAATGACTTAGAATTACCGTGCGTAATGACTTAGAATAAGCGTTCGTAGTGACTTAGAATTAGCGTGCGTAATGACTTAGAATTAGCGCAATGTCTTAGCGGCACTACGGCTCATACCTTCGGCTCATTATCTTCAAATTATAACCATTGATGGATAAATATTAAGTCTGATATTTAAAACAAATAAAGAACTAAATGTAAGAGAATAGTTATTATGCAGAATCAGCAAAATCTCTGTATATTCGTGCAATGAGTGCATGTCTAACAATCACTCACTCCATGCCCTGTGCCGTCTGTCTGGCGATGTCCATCAGCTGGAACATCTGGAAGTTGGTCTCTTGCACGTGCAGATGTTTGTAGAGACTGCTTCCCTCACACCACTGCGTCACAATGGCCAGCTTTGCCTTGGTCATGTATCCCATAAACAACACAATATTGACATGCCTGGTCTTCCTGAAACAACAACACAGAACAACGTCAACAGACTCTGAACGAAGACTAGAGATCGAGCTGGAGCTCATCACAGTGTTTACACTCATCTGAGGGAATAATGGGATCGTGCGACGGGTTGGTTTACCTGAGAACAGCCACTTCATTGCGAAAGGCCTGTAACTGCTCCGGTGTAGGATTCGTCACCTTTAAAATCTTTACAGCGACATCACCTGAAAAGACATTTCAAATCAAAATAAGATTTTATTCTAAAAAAACATGATTTTTGTTCATCGAAAATCAACAAACATTAACTCACCTCACACTGATTAAATAACTTTTAACTTTTCACACTTTTAAATAAGCCTCACACTTATTTATATATATATATCATTCATTACTGGACATTCATCATTAGAATTAGCGTGCGTAATGACTTAGAATTAGTGCAATGTCTTAGCGGCACTACGGCTCATACCTTCGGCTCATTCGAATCAGAGTTTTTGAATGAATTACTTGGATGAATGATGAATTTTGAATGAATTTTTGAATGAATTACTTGGATGAATGATTCAATGACTCACTCATAACGACTTCACTTGTCTCATTACTGGACAAATCAGCGCTTTTGAACGAAACTCTTGAATGAATGATTCAATGACTCACTCATAACGACTTCACTTGTTTCATTACTGGATGAGTCAGCGCTTTTGAACGAATCTCTTGAATGAATGATTCAATGACTCACTCATAGCGACTTCACTTGTTTCATTACTGGATTAATCAGCGCTTTTGAACGAATCTCTTGAATGAATGATTCAACGACAAATATTTTTTTTTTTTACAGACACTTGTCGCCACCTACTGGTGTAATGATGTAATATATAAGAGGTTTATATTTAATATGTATAAACCCCCTAAAATGACAATGAGAGAGATCCCTTACCGTGCCACTTCCCTTTGTAAACGGTGCCGAAGGAGCCCGACCCGATCCTGGAGAGCAGAGGCACCTCGCTGGCCTCGATCTCCCAGTAATAGCTGGAGTCTCTCTTCTCTCGCGGACGCTGGCGACCAACGAACAAACCAGCTCATGTTTCAACCCAGTGACATCACCTTAACTCTATACAGAGCCTTATTCTCCTTATAGAAAAGCTTTGGGGGTTCATTAAGAAACAAATCTGATGATAACGTGTTGATTTGGCTTCAGATTACTCACAATTCTTTTTTCCTGAGCGTTGTTTGAAGGCGCTTTCTCCCTGTGACCCGGAACCGGGGTTTTGGGCCAGTCGGTTGGGCTTTCATTATGAGGGCTTCCTATGAACGAACGTGACAAAAAATGACGTCACGTCAGCCACAATTAACTTTATCCACCTTATTCCTAACTCTTGAATTATGGGTGTAACTTCCGTTAAGCTGTAAACAATCAATGAAAAACTCGCTCTATGAACTCAATAATAGTTTTTTTTTTAACTGTGTACTATGAGATGACATTATTCTACTCATCCTTCAACCAGTGAACATTAAAAGGACATTTTAAAGTGTAAAAGCATCAACAAGGTACTTTAAACAGACCATGAATAACCACAAAAGCGCGACTCTTTCCACAGCAATAACGGATGGGTTAAATATCACTGTAGTAATACCAGTGAAACTCCAAAAATGAGAATATGGTGCAAACGTTCATTTATTTCAGTAATTAAGCATAAAAGGTGAAACTAATATACAAACCCAATTCCATAAAAGTTGGGACACTGTACAAATTGTGAATAAAAACAGAATGCAATGATGTGGAAGTTTCAAATTTCAATATTATATTTAGAATACAACATAGATGACATATCAAATGTTGAAAGTGAGACATTTTGAATTACCACGCCAAATATTGGCTCCTTTTGGATTTCATGAGAGCTACAAATTCCAAAAAAGTTGGGACAGGTAGCAATAAGAGGCCAGAAAAGTTAAATGTACATATAAGGAACAGCTGGAGGACCAATTGGCAACATGATTGGGTATAAAAAGAGCCTCTCAGAGTGGCAGTGTCTCTCAGAAGTCAAGATGGGCAGAGGATCACCAATTCCCCCAATGCTGAGGCAAAAAATAGTGGAGCAATATCAGAAAGGAGTTTCTCAGAGAAAAATTGCAAAGAGTTTGAAGTTATCATCATCAACAGTGCATAATATCATCCAAAGATTCAGAGAATCTGGAACAATCTCTGTGCATAAGGGTCAAGGCCGGAAAACCATACTGAATGCCCGTGATCTTCGGGCCCTTAGACGGCACTGCATCACACACAGGAATGCTACTGTAATGGAAATCGCAACATGGGCTCAAGAATACTTCCAGAAAACATTGTCAGTGAACACAATCCACCGTGCCATTCACCGTTGCCGGCTAAAACTCTATAGGTCAAAAAAGAAGCCATATCTAAACGGGAACCAGAAGCGCAGGCGTTTTCTCTGGGCCAAGGCTCATTTAAAGTGGACTCTAGCAAAGTGGAAAACTGTTCTGTGGTCAGACGAATCAAAATTTGAAGTTCTTTTTGGAAAACTGGGACGCCATGTCATCCGGACTAAAGAGGACAAGGACAACCCAAGTTGTTATCAGCGCTCAGTTCAGAAGCCTGCATCTCTGATGGTATGGGGTTGCATGAGTGCGTGTGGCATGGGCAGCTTACACATCTGGAAAGGCACCATCAATGCTGAAAGGTATATCCAAGTTCTAGAAACCACATACTGCATCAATTACAACATCATGGCTGCGTAGAAGAAGGATCCGGGTACTGAAATGGCCAGCCTGCAGTCCAGATCTTTCACCCATAGAAAACATTTGGCGCATCATAAAGAGGAAGATGCAACAAAGAAGACCTAAGACAGTTGAGCAGCTAGAAGCCTTTATTAGACAAGAATGGGACAACATTCCTATTCCTAAACTTGAGCAACTTGTCTCCTCAGTCCCCAGACGTTTGCAGACTGTTATTAAAAGAAGAGGGGATGCCACACAGTGGTAAAAATGGCCTTGTCCCAACTTTTTTGAGATGTGTTGATGCCATGAAATTTAAAATCAACTTATTTTTCCCTTAAAATTATGCATTTTCTCAGTTTAAACATTTGATATGTCATCTATGTTGTATTCTAAATATAATATTGAAATGTGAAACTTCCACATCATTGCATTCTGTTTTTATTCACAATTTGTACAGTGTCCCAACTTTTATGGAATTGGGTTAGACTCATTACATGCAAAGTGAGATATCTCAAGCCTTTATTTGTTATAATTTTGATGATTATACAGATATGAAAAGCTTTTGACAATATTTTAATTTTGGATATGGGGTTGGGATTTCATGTCTGTAAACCATAATCATCATAAAACGAGAGATTCTTTGTGCGTACCAGTGAATTATTAATGGGATATATCATAAATTAAACCCGGGAGAACAGATCACAAATGTCCTGTATGTTGTTCTCGCTCATTCGTTTACAGTGGAGTGCAAAAGGGAAAAAAGAAAATAATCATGAGCAGAAGAGCTAAATGTTCTCGTCATGTTAAAACACCAAGTGTTATTCTCATGTTATTCTGAAATAAAACATGAAGGGACATTGACGGCTCACCCAGTCGGATCAGCTTTATTATAGAGGAACCTTATGATCTGAAGTGATTCATTTCAGTGTTTTTGAATAGAACCGGAAGTGCCAGCCATAATTCAGTTCATCAGGAATAAAGTGGATAGCTGTGAAATCTTTGAGGACAGAGTGAGGAAAAGCCCTTACCTGATTCATCACAGCCTAAGGCTTCCTGTGAGTAAAGAAGCAAAGCAGTTTAACACATGTTTGAGAGGAGACACTATAAGAAGCAGATGTACTGAAAGCTTGATCACTCACACATTAAACACTACCGTCGGGATACACAAAAGACACGCAGAGAAGCGAGCGATGGAAACACCATTACTTCTGCAGAGGATCTTATTGCTTGTGCTTTTTTAGGAGTTTCACTTTCAGACATGATATTTACAGGAGGAGAGTATTTATTAAATTAATCATGTAACATGATTTATTTAGTCAGTAGAAATAGCTACTTTTACCCAAAGAAAACTTGTCTTAAAGGAGTAGATCACTTTTAAAAAAACATTGCTGATAATTTACTCACCCCCATGTCATCCAAGATGTCCATGTCATTCTTTCTTCAGTCGAAAAGAAATTAAGGTTTTCGATGAAAACATTCCAGGATTTTTCTCCATATAATGGACTTCAATGGGAACCAAACGGTTCAAGGTCCAAAAGACATTTTCAGTGCAAACTGTTCAAAGGGCTTTAAACGATTCCAGACGATGAATAAGGGTCAAAAATGAACATGTTATTTGGTTCATTCAACGAACGAAATGAACGAATTGACTCGGAAAAAGATTTGTTCATTTTGATGAACGAGTTCGAACAGGAGAGTCACGAACGTGCATAGGCAAAGCAAGGCGAGCATTTGAGCTTATAAAACTCAAACTTTTTTTTTTTTTAAAATGAGCAATCGTTTTGCTTGATAAGACCCGTATTCATCGTCTGATGTCATTTAAAGCCCTTTGAACAGTTTGCAGTTTGCACTAAAACTGTCTTTTGGACCTTGAACTGTTTGGATCACAATGAAGTCCATTATATGGAGAAAAATGCTGGAATGTTTTCATCAAAAACCTTAATTTCTTTTCGACTGAAGAAAGAATGATGTGGACATCTTGGATGACATGGGGGTGAGTAAATTATCAGCAAAAGTTTTTTTAAAAGTGAACTACTCCTTTAACTAGGGGTTTAACAATATATCATGTCACAATATGTCGCAATACTAAAATGCAACAATATGTATCGAGGATAGTGACAATATCAGTATAGTTCACCCAAACTAAAAATTACTGTGTAAGGCAAAGTGAAAGTTTTCAGAGTTTGTGTCAGTACTACATTAAACTGCTATATATAATGTCGAATATTATGTATAATACTGCAATGTGGGAATATTTGTGGGATGCCAGATGTCTGATGTTACCAGTAAAAGTGGCCGACATTATTTTAAATAGATCTAGTCAGTGAAAGAGTGCAAGAATATTCGTTTAAAATAATTTGGTATTGTCAGCTTCAGAATCATGAATATTGATATTCTGATGTCATTTTTTTGTTAACCTTTTACCTTGGAGTATCGCAATGATATCATATCGTGAGTTCAGTATCATGATATGTAGCAAATCATGACATCGCTACACCCAGCTACCCTACGAAGTATGACTTATAAATGTATTTAAATAAATCATGAAATGTGATTTACTAAGGTTTGAGCTCATTATTTACCGCTCAAATAAAGCATGTTTTAATCCACACATATCGATTGACAAGCTGTGTTGGATGGAGAAGCGTCTCACCTGATAAGCGGCCTCGTCCACGGGTTGTGTGGTGCTCGTCATGTGGACGTTAGGCGTAGATGTGGACAGCACTTTATGACTGAGAGACACGCCAGGGGACGGCATGGGGGCGATGTAGTTTAAAGCGTTCGGCGTGGAGTATCTGTGATAGGGACTGGAGAAGAGTTTCCACATCACCTCGTTGTAACATTAAACATGATATATACAGGACATTACAGGAGTTACTAAATATAACAGTGAAAGTACTATTCAAATTGTTGAATCAAATGTAAGACAGACTAAAGAAGACACTAGCAAAAGTCAAAACACGGCTCTTACCTGTGCGTTACATTCAATCTTGATTGGGAAAAAAAACGTATTTGAAAAAAAAAAAATCCTTTGAAACAGTGTTTCACAGACACTTGACATCATGTAAACAACGTTGAAAAAATGGATGCAAGTTCACAAGACAAGATCAAGCAACTCTATCAGCTTAGTCTTGTGTTTCGTAATGTGGATATACTTCTAAAACAGTGTGTATTTAAATAATTATGGTAATGTAATTAATGGCTACTTGTGTGTTAGTCAAAATATGACAAAATTATTATCTGTGATTATCAAATCTCCAGAAATGCTGAACTTTCTAAAGCTAATAATTTTAGCACTAAATGGGTAAATATACACATATAATGTACAAGTATTTATAGTGAAACATTTTAAAGTCACGCACAATGTTCAGATATTTAATAAAGTTGGTCTGGTTTTAAAGCAGAAATGTTTTAATACATGTCAGGTTTAGTATTATCGTTAATTATAACTATAAAAACATTTCTGTTAATTGACAAAGCTGAAAAAAAAAACTATAAATATTAGTTGAAAAACGAAAACTAAATGAAAATGAGAAATGTTGCCTTATAAGCTGAAGCACTAAAATTGTTACCTGAAAAAAATAAAACTGAAATAAAAATACAAATAAATTAAAAAGCAAAATAAATTAGAAAAACAGAAAAAAATGAACAAAACGAATAAAACATAACTAAATGAACCTAAAGTTACATACAAGTATAAAAATAAAAGCGTATTCAAAATATGAATAAATCTATGACAAATGTAAAATAACACTTATACAAGGAACTACAAGTATGAGCAAATAGAGAGTAAAGTAGGGGGCGTCGTGACATGCTCTGATTCCCAGAGGAACGCTGGACTCGGGTCAGTTCACTACATCTGAGCTAAATATAGACACAGACTCCATTTACCTGAAGGAGAATTTAGAGTTTTGCATCCGACGGGACGAGAGGGGCGGGAGTGACGGAGTGCCGTTCTCTCCGGGAGTCGGGAACAGCCTGGAAAAATAACTAATAACTAATTTCTAAAAGATGGACCACTGAAAGTTTTCCTTAAAAAGCATTATAAGTTTGTTTTTTCATCTTTGTGATGGATTCTGCTGCAGAAGAATGGACCTTTGTACCATGCTTTACATGATGACCATTGATAGACATCTACAACGCTCACGGTGCGAGGGCCTCTATGCAAAACTCTTTCTGTGAGCCTTCCCTTCATGTCTATCTTCATTTAAATGGAGGAAAGAAGCCTGTTCAGCCTCTTCACCTAATTTAAAAAACATTTTACTCCTAAATAAAAGTGAAATTTAGTATTTTCTGTCTTTTGACAGTATTTTAATGCGTTACTTTACATTTTAATGCGTTACTTCACATGTTACATCAAAATGCTAATCTGATTGCGTAATGCATGTTAATTTTAATGCGTTACTTTACACGTTACAACAAAATGGTAATCTGATTACGTAATGCATGTTACTTGTAATGTGTTACATCAAAAAGTAATCTGATTACGTAATGCATATTAATTTTAATGTGTTACTTCACATGTTACCTCAAAATGATAATCTGATTCCGTAATCCACGTTACGTTTAATGCGTTATTTTACATGTTACATCAAAATGGATATATGAATTCGTAATCCACGTTACTTTTAATGCGTTACTTCACGTTACATCAAAATGGTAATCTGATTTCGTAATCCACGTTACTTTTAATGCGTTACTTTACATGTTACATCAAAATGGTAATCTGATTACGTAATCCATGTTACTTTTAACGCGTTACTTTACTCGTTACATCAGAAAATTAATCTGATTACGTAATGCACATTACTTGTAATACGTCATTTTACTTGTTGCATCAAAAAAGTAATCTGATTACCTAATGCAAGTTCCTTGTAATGTGTTGTTACATCAAAAAAGTAATCTAGTTACACAAAACCAGCATGGTGCAATATAACAGAACATGTAAGAACTATGTTTTTAAGCATTTCTGTGGCTTTTCCTAGACATGAAGCAACTTTCCTAGCCTAAGCAACTAATGCAACCGCTGACGTACATGAGTGTAAAGTGTGTCTGCTGGTATCTGTGGTTTTGCACACTCACAGCAGCTGTCGGATGTTGCTCCAGTCCACACACATGGTGGGCACTTTGGTGCTGCAATGCTCATGAAACTTGTATCCGCACGTCTGACATCTGAAACCATGTAGAAGAAACTTCTGACATATGTCACAAAAGGCCAACTTCAAAAACGTCTTTCGTACCTGTGAAGATGGACGGTCAGATGTTAGAGTCACTGTAAAGATGACATCAGCTCAATTCACACTCACTGACTACAGGAACTTACAAAATTGTGCGTGGTCAATGGGACGTGATCTAAGACTTCGACCAGAAGCTCCTCTCCCACCAGCGAGGTCGAGTCTGTGCTCCAGTCCATACGCAGCTTCTTACTGCACAAACAACATCAGGTCACTCACGGAGCAGTGCATTAACTTTCAGGAGCAAAACTCAGCTTTACAGTTGTGTCTAAAATATTACAATTATTAAACAGAAGATATACAGAACTTCTATACCAGTAAGAATAAGGGTTTCATTACTTAACATTTATTGTTCTTGGTTGATGCTAAAATCATAATGAAATCGAAATGGACAGTTCTTGTTTTTTTATGTGATTTTGTAGGGTTTATTCTAAAAATGTCCACATTATTATAGTTAAGTTCCTTGTTTTATTTTTTTAAACATCTCTTCTCTGATGACGAGGGCAGGGCAACCTGTCACTCACAGGACATCTCCCAATAGCAAACCACAACCATCCAATCAACTCCCCACAGACACAATCAAGCCCCGCCCACATCTGTTCTGGTTCCTAAAGTGCTTCACTTGATATATGACACTATAGAGAAGTACTAGTGCAACTTCTCTTCCATGCAGACTTTTTTGACTAATTTGAAAAAATGGACCTGAGCTGACATGAACTAACAATGAAGAAAAAGAAATATTGCTTATTGTTAGTTAATATTAGCCAATGCATCATTGTGTTTCATGCATTGGTCACTGCAATCAACAATATCCCTGTGTTCAACATTAAATTCCCAAACGAATTAGAATCGAATAATGTGTTTGTGAAACAGAATCAGACCAAATTAGGAAGTCTGCATCAATACCCAACCCAATCAGCTACAGTGGATCTGATGATTGTGATAACTTTACATCACTCTGTAGAGATTCATTTCCACATGAAAGTCTTTTTCTGATGGTCGATGGCAAAAATAACAAATTAATTTGCATTAAATATAAAAACAACTTTTTATTGGCACTGCATGTTGATAGTGCTCAGTCTTTCTCATTGTATTCCATTTTTATAAGACCTTTTTATGCCACAACTTACAATGTGTGTTCTCGATGGAGCTTGAAAACGGCGCAGCACTCGGGCTGGAGTCCACGCACCTTCAGGGCTTTGATGAGGCAGTTGCGCAGCGTCATTCCCGCTCGCACGTTCACCTAATTCAACACAAGTCTCAGATTTCATCACTTCAATGGAGAACAAGGGAATGAACATGCATGTGAACGTTACATAGATGTTTAGCATTATAGCTACTAGCATTTGTGAGTTTGTAAAAACTAGAGATGCATGATATATCGGACACCACATCGGTCTCGGCAGATATATGTTCATGTTTAATGTTATCGGTATCGGCCCGATAAGAAAATAAGGCCGATATAGTAAAGCTGATTAATAATGTATTATGTCCTCTTCAGATGCACACTGTTCAACATGATGGTTCTGAATTGCTTGAAATAGGATTGAAATCACTTCCAAAAATTACATCAAGGCACTTCCAACATAAAGGCCCGTTCACACCGAGGACAATATAGGTTGTCCTTTGGGTCACATGACTATAAACAATAAAATGACTTCCTTGAAGTGACATCACATGTGCCCATCGCTAACGGACTCGTCAAGTCAGCTTTATAAATATAGCGCTTTACATAGATAACAGGAAAATAATGCAACAAAGTTTGTTTCCAGAAGAAAACAGTCTAGCTTCAGTCAGTTCAGTGATGGCTCATTTTTTTTGCAAAAAAGTTATTAATTAAGTCAAAGCTGGAGTCTGCAGTTTTTCCTCTTTGTCGCCATCTCTGTTCGAAATCTGCAGTTGCAAATGTTCGCGGAATTATCAACTTTACATGAGTTCGACACGGCACAGTGCGGATGAACACAATGAAGCGTGGAAGTTTGAGGAGAGTGTGAGGCTGTCAGTCACCACGCCGGTGTGGATACTGGCATTCAGTATCACAGATTATTCTTTTTGGAAGTATGACCAACATAATCATTTTCACCGGAAAATTGCATCTGAACTTGAAAAAAAACATCCACTTTTGTTCTGGTTCTGAAATTGCAGTACATCGTGCTGACTAAATCTAAAAATCGCTTATCATATCACGCAAAACCGTGGCATCACCAAATCACCACTGCGTGACTACATGTAATGTCCTTCCGATATGTATCCTTGTTTTCGCATTGGGCCAGTTGCAGTCTCTTTTTTTCTGTAGCCACTCCGAAGTCCGAACGAAGTCTTTTGTGTTTTACAGCGGGTGAATCTGTTGTTACTGGTGATTGTCGTTTGAACCTTTATGGATCCGCAATCAAATTGATAAGTTTAATTATATCAAGTGCTGTGAGAAAAGGCTAGCCTGGATGGCAGCCCGAACTCCGCCCACAAAATTTTTTGGTCGGGAAGTTCGGTCTGGACTCGATCCATTGAGTAGTAATTATGATCAGGAAAAAACATTCGGGCCAATCAAATTGCCAGGGCGGGCTTTATACAATGATGGACAGATGATCTGCGTAAGTACGTAATCATCACGTTATCAAAGAGCGCTTAACTGGTTTCCCTCAGAGATGACTGCAGCTGGAGAATTGAGATGTATAGATTCCGCTGTCGCGAATGTTGTAAAATAAATCGACAGCGCATTAATTTTAATAGACAAACAGAGAACTGCAATCAAGGCATTTCTCGATCGGAAAAGATATTTTTGCCGTCCATCCTACATGATTCGGCAAAAGTGTAACTTATCAGCTGGCTCTGACGGTCGCTAAGAAAATGGGACGTAATGAAAAGCCTGTGGTCGTTGTGGTTTCTCCTTTGGTCGCACTCATGGAGGACCAAGGAAAAGAAGCAACACTCGTTATTTACCTTCTAAAATAAGTAAGTTCTGTAGTTGACAACTGTATGCAAAGTAGTTCACTTATTGCGTTGCTCTGATTGGTTGTAGGTTTACCGACTATCCAATTGAGAGCAGAGGTTTTTTTTCCTGGTTCGGTTCAGACACGCCTCATAATCAAAGCCCTATGGAGCAGTTTCAGACTCATATTCCGACAAGAATATGAGTATGCCGAAGTCAGGCTAAGAAAAGTCAGGCTAAGAAAAGAAAAGGCTATCTCGGGTCGTGTTTGCGTTCACGCAGAAGGCGTTCAGGCAATTTCCTGGGATCAACGCGCTGTGTGAAAGGGGCTATATAATGGTGTCACTGCAGGAGATCAATAATATTGTTGGATATTAAATTAAATGAAAGTTGGAAGGGATTCAGTCATTCACTTTTATTGCCCTTCAAGCTCGCAAAAACGCCGTTTGGAAATCGCCAATTGTTATAGCAATCGTTCTAGGAGAAAACAGCCCTCAATGTGCAAAAGCACTGAACTAGGGTAAATATTCAAACACACACTCCATACTCATCATGAAAACATGGAAATAAATAACACAGTTCTGGTGTTGTTACCACAGTCCGCTGCTTGTTGGGCAGGTAGACACGGATCGTGCCGCTAGCTTTAGAGTCTGGGATTCTCCCATCGTCTGACAATCTCCGGTACGGGAAGTTCTTGAGAATGTTGGGAGACATGCAGGGATCTTCGAACACCGAGTCTTTGCATCCGAACCCGTGACTGGCGCTCTTCCAGGCCCCTTGAACATGCTCCATCACGACAGGCAGCGGCGCACAGGGATCTAGCAGGAGAACACAACCGATATAACGGATCACACAAGGCATGAAACATGATCTATGGTTAATAGAAAACTCCATTTCCTACATCCATTGCTCTCGTTTAGTGGCGGCAGCTCTGAAGTGGGTATTGTGTGTGTGATGGGATTACGTGACTAGCAGAGAAAACCCTCCAAAACAACAGGATAATGCTTTATAACTCAAATTTATTTCTAGAGCACTTTCAAAAACACAACTACAAATAACAAAATCATACAACCAAAAATATACATAATTACAACACATTTTTAAAAGCTAGTTTTTATAAAGTACGTTTTTATGAACAAGGTCAAGACTTCATTTAATGTCTGCAGTATTACAGCGCGTTACACTTGAACCGTCAAGGACAAATAACTCTGACGAGAAATCATTCAAAAGAACGGCCAAATGTTTTTCAGATTATGATGATAATAATAATAATAAACTGATAACATTTGGATGATGAATGTGTATCACGTATCACATAAGAAGCAAACTTTATCAAATAAAAGAAGGTCAGTCTTTTCATAAAATAATTATTCACTGTCTAAATATGAGTATAAAGTCATTTTAATAACACTAAGCTTCAGAAACAGCTTAATGAGAATGAAATTACTAGGCTATTTAAAGGGGAGCTATAATGCAGAGTTGTGATGTTACTAGAACAGGTTTTTTGCTTGAATGTTGATTATTTTCCTCATATTCTCCATTGTTGCGGCTCCTCTCTTCCCAGTCTGTCTGTAACGCTCTGTTTACTTCCTGTCTCTATGAAGCCCCTCCTTCTGAAAAGCACACTGTCCTCTGATTGGTCGGCTGGAACAGTGTGTTGGTCGAGCGCTTCAAGTGTGTTTGGGAAATGTCCCGCCCCTTTCCATAACTGACAATAGAGCTGGTAAGTCCCGCCCCTTCCGCTAACCCCACTGGACCTCTAGGTTGAAAAATCGTCAATGCAAGTGAATGAGAGAAAATAATTATTTTCTAATCCCGTTTGAATTTTGCAATGAATGTGAACATACGTTGTCTGTGAATTTTTTTTATATAATTTTTTTCATGTAAAGAATGCTACAATTTAGCGGGTAGAATTTTCATACGGTTAGACTTGGTGTGAGAGCACTTTGTTGACTACAACTCTTCGCTGCTTTCAACGCGTTTGATATACGTCACCACCACTAGCACACGGATCCCGCTAAACCAACCATTGTTTGAATGGTGACATTTGGGTACAAAACACATAGGCATCTCGATCTAATTCCTTGGATTATCGCACCGTGATTTGTGGAGGGAAAATGTGTTATGCGGTGATGTCACATATGCGACGTGTAGTCTTTCTCATTATGTCTATTCCACAACTGCTAGCCAAAGAATCATACAATATACTGTCAAACTCATTACATGAGAAATTATATTTAAAAAAAATTCACAGACAACATATGTTCACATGCATGGCACAATTCAGGATCAGAAAATAATTATTTTCTCTCATTCACTTGCATTGACGTTTTTTCAACCTAGAGGTCCACTTGGAGTTTTACGGATGGGCGGGCCTTACCAGCTCTATAGATCATCACAGTCCCGCCCACAGCCCGAGAGAGCGTTGGTGCCGGAAGTAAATTTCCCATTCATTTCTCCACTTTGACATTTTGTAAAATCCATATCTAAAGAGTATTAGGGCATGTCTGAGGACAATCAGCTACAGCTGAACTCATAAGCATACAACATATCATTTCGAAGTGAAAAAACGAAGAGAAAATCCAAAAAAAAGTCAAGGGTACAAGCCTGTGCACATATTTTCATTTCCGAGCAAAAGAACTATAAACCACCATAAACCACCGCGCCTCACTAAAGTCGTCCTGAAAGCCACCGTAAAAGAGCCTTTTGAGTGACTTCCAAATCTGACAACGGCCACATGAACTTTTTCCTCCAGTGAATTTTATATAGTGAATGTGCAGGGAAACTCCTTTTCCTCCATTTACTGAAGCCAATATGTAAAACGCATTGCACCTGCACATGCTAAAAGACTGAGCATCTCGCTCGCTCATAGGCTGTGCTGCGGTAACTGCACATCCAATGGAGCGGGGGCATCTCAGAGGTGCGACCAATGAACTTAGCCCTACGTCATTACGCGATCTTCAGTCTGTCACGTACATTCGCAGGGTTTCAGACACGTGACACGACTTCCACCAATCAGATGCATCACTGTGGGATTGTTCAGGGTTGTGGGTAATGAAGTACTTATCCAATACATCACGAATAAAGGGCATTTATCTTAAAAACAGGTTAGTGCCCCATGAACTTTTGGCGTTTATATGAGCATACAATCGCTTAGTACAGCCGTAGCTTGTTTTAAGTCTACCATGTATGGTGGTTACGTTTTTACGGCTTATATCTCAAATGTCAATGGAGAAATTTCTGTGATGCTCTGTATAACCCACTACTAAGTAACTCAACCGGGCCCCGCCCATTTATTCTGCATATGAATTATTATAAGGAGGAATATTGTGACGTGTTCGTTCCCGGAAAAAACTCAAGACTACAATGGAGGCGTTTCAGCAGTTCAGAAACACTAAGAATCAGAAGCAAACAAAAAAGTCAAATTTTGAGCTTGAGAAGATTGAAAACCAATGCTTACATGTTCTATTTATTAACTTTCCTTTTTAAAAGGTTCATCTTTAAACTGGGAAGGGTCATGGTACTTGCATATTGTTGTCCTACTGTTAGTTTAACTGCTTCTTTTGCTCTCATTTAAGTCATTTTGGATAAAAGCGACTGCTAAATGAATGAAGTCACATGCTGAAACTTTAAAATGAAACGCAGAGAACCTCCAGTCGTGTGATATTAACCTGCTTTTCAGGCCCAAACACCCAACAGAAACATTAATCATCGAAGTCTCTGCCGCTAAGAAGTGCAGATGGTGACATATCTGTCAGGAACTGTTGCTAGCCTGGGACTTACAGTGTCCTGACAGTTATGCTGTGTGTTCTTGCTGTTCTTCCTATGAAGGACGCGATGCTTCTGCCCTGGCAGTGTGTGTCGGTCAGATGGTTCGCCCACACCGCACCAGTCATTACACAGTATCGGCAGCCAAGACCAATGCATTTCTCACCCGTTCAGCATGAGCCGCTCGACATCCACCTGTTCGCTCTCGGAAAGTAACTGTGCAACTATGTTGGGTTAAACTCGTTCATTGTTCTGCCATCTGGAACCAGTCGAGCAGGTCCGAGCAGCTCACACACACGCTCATGCTAATCCGACGGTCAACGTGTCAGAAACACTAATTACTCTGTAAAGCATTTCTGTGTCATGCTGAATAATTCCTCCTCATTTCTCTCTGCATCACACATATAATGCAATATCAATGTCAGGCTTCCAAACTAAAACATTGCCCTTCATTTAACATTTCAATGTCACGTTATCTTGTTTGTGTGCATACAACATCATATAAATGTGCTTGCATTAGATATGAAGTGTGGATTATGCTTAAAATGCCATGCCAATGATTAATCAAGTTATAAAGCTTTAAAAATATGAATGCTGCTCATTAAATGCAAACACATCTGTAATTTTCAGTAGTTATGTATACAATAAATGCTACACTGCATGAATGTAATGTGTAAGACGATTTTAATAACTCAGCAGCCTGAGAAAATAAATCAAGATCACTGTTTAAGACAGACCTATTTGAAACATCTAATTCTAAAAACACACACTAATATATTGCCTTTGTTCAAAAGCAGAACTGACCAATAACTTGATCAAACAGAGAAGGCTATTTGCATTTTTTTTTTTAGCTATGAAGAGGGCAATAATTCAGAGGACATTGTGTCACCCAGTTACATTTCATTAGTTCAACTGTTTTAAAAGACTATATCAGAACTACTTTCATTAAACTATGACCCAATTTACCATAACAATATCTATTTACCGATAAAAGACAGAATATTTATTTTCACTACCATAATAGGACTCTGATGTTTTGACCTCAGTTCATGTTTTTAGTTACTTTGATACAGCAGCTATAAGTTACACACACACTCACACAGAGAGAGAGAGAGACAGACACCCAGCTGACTGTATAGCTAGAAAGATTAACAGTGCGTGCTTTAATATAGGCTATTTAACCGTGTTTACAAGCTCAATCAAAATCTTCAGTATAGTATAATCACACAAACACACAAAACAACTGCGATGGAGGTTTCACTAATAATCTCGCTCGGATAAGCAGCGAGACGCGATATAACCTGCATGAAATACTGTGCACGCGAAATATAGAGACTCGCTTTACTCACCAAAGAAAGTTGTTGAATTGTTGATCCGCCATGATTATCGCTACAGGGAGTGTGTGACGTGAGAGTGATGTCATCCGCTTCGTCACAGCTCGCGACGCGACAAAAACGCTATTTTTCGCCATTTCGCAGACGGTCGCGTGATATGGCAAGCCCGACATACATTTAAACCATGAAATCAAATGACCAATTCTTATTCAGTTTTTTTATTTATTTATTTAATATTGGCGTATTTATCATACATCAATTACCAGTGCACATCTTTATTGTTTTAAATACATGTGCCTGGTAATCTTAAATAACTAACTTCCTAACAAATAACAAAACTTCCCCTCCCTGTTGGAGCCACATCTCTTCTGATGACATGTTAAGTGGTGCGAGGGCGGGGCGATCTGTCACTCACATTAGACCCACCAATAGCAAACCACAACCATCCAATCAATTCCCCACAGACTAAATTATACCACAGTTTACATTTGTTCTTACTTCAGAAGCATTTCACTCACCACACATTATAGAAGAAAAGACAAGTGCTACTTCCCTTCATACTGTTTTTAAAGGGATACTCCACTTTTTTTTTGGAAATAGGCTCATTTTACAACTCCCCCAGAGTTAAACTGTTGAGTTTTACCTTTTTTGAATCCATTCAGCCGATCTCCAGTTCTGGCAGTACCACTTTTAGCAAAGCTTAGCATACATCACTG